CTTTGGGCTTCTAGAAAGCATGTGGTCTGACACAAAATAGGGGCGGTCACTTTAGGCTTTTGGAAAGCATGTGGTCTGACACAAATACAGGCAGTTCAGCACTTTGGGCTTCTGGAGGGCGATTCGATACTTTGGGCCTCTGGAAAGCATGGGGTCTGACACTTTGGCTCTGGATTGTTAGGGGGTCCGGCACTTTAGTAGTGAGCGAGTCCACGTCAATGTCTGGCTGTACAGGTATGAGCATTTTCGTCAAAAAATATGCCTTTTTAACTTGGGGGTATTTGCTAGGAAAATTAAATTTGGGGTAAAAGTTGATAAAAAAAACTTGGTCGGGGAAAGTTATCTAGAAAGTCTCCTTTTGAAGAGTTTTTGTAATTTTCCCTTTATTCCTTTTTCATATTATTTCTTCTCCCATGACTCAATAAACCCTTTTTGTTTCTATATCCCCTTTCACATCCCAAACCCTTCTCCATAAACTGCACTAGGGTTAGTTAAGGACCAAGGAGGGTGAAAGAAACACGCTATAACAAAGAAACAAAAAGTAAAGCTTTGTGGTCAATCCCACGAGTAGGGGTGGCGATGGACTCGAATTCACTGGACTCGGACTCGGACCCAAAAGTATAGTGTAAGATCCATAGTAGATCGGATCCGACCCAAAAATTAAAATATCTATGTATTTAGCTATATATATATATATATATATTATAAATTGGGACCCAAAAAAAATTACCAGACCCAGCCCGTTGGGTCCAATTTTTGGACCCATATCTAGACCCAAATTGGGTTTAGCTCTCGGGTCCCGGGTTGGGTCCAGGTCTAGGTCGCCCTACCCACGAGCGTACACTTTAAAAAAAAAAAAAAAAAGGATTATTGGTAGCAAGAGTGTAACCTAATGATATGGAGCTAGAATGGTATTTTTATATCATCCATTTAGAAATGGGCTGGAAGTTTTGGGTTAAACCATTTGGCTTCATGAGACTGAAAATGGGGAAAATTTTCAAACTATTTAGTAGGACTAAATGGTCTAAAGAGCAAGCGGGTCGAGAGTTTTTCTTTTTTTGGTTGATAGTCGAACAATTAATAGGGAGAGGAGAATAGTGCTGACTTACATTGAAAAAGTAGTACAAAAACATTTCTATTGTAAATCTGGTGTTTCCTTACTAAGCAGATGGTGGATTCACAACTATTCCACTGCTTTACAATAAAGGTGAGGACCTTAAACTTTCTCGTTATATGTCCGAATAAAGGGCCAAAACTTATCATGATATTGTGCTCCACCCCCTTGGATATGTCTCGAAGGTATTATACACCGTACTTCCAGTTGCCACGATCCAATTCATGTTATACACGTCCAATTAAAGATGGGCAGAATGCATCAATGGAAAGTGAGAAGGACTACACGGAAACCATGATCCATTGCATCCCTATCATCTAATTTGTCAGTGAACATTGATCGAGAGCCGGTCGTCCTCTCATTCGATCATCCCCATGCAAGGGTTGTGCACATGGAATATGCAGTTTGCGGAAGTTCTAATATATATGAATCCGTCGTAAATTGTATGTTCTTTGTTTTCCTATATTTGGATTTCAAGTGTGGTTGAAATGATAAATATCCATAATATAATAGAATAAAAATTGAAAGGGTGGACTCATTGCAAATAAGTAAAATCGGTTGACCAAAAAAAATAAAATTTGCAATTGTTTCCCCCATTGTTTGAAAAGTCGGTGAGTCAAATCGGACTCGCCCGGTTCAACTCGAGAATCGGCAGCCCCATTTCGATTCTAGCATAATACACGAAACCACCACCCATGTCTAGAGAGAAGGCAGCCCCGTTTCGGTTCTAGCATAATACACGAAATCGCCCAGTGTCTAGAGAGAAGGCAGCCCTGTTTCGGTTCTAGCGTTCTAGCATAATACACAAAACTACCCGTGTCCAGAGAGAAACGGGCGGCTTTAAACCCGTTCACGGGCGATTTTAAATCGTGAACTGACACGGGCGACAAAATCACGTGGCACATATTACACGTAGGGTTGCCCCAGTGTTTCTACACGCATGCTTCATATCATATTACATAGTTTTTTATATAGCAAAATATACCCATCCTTCGATGTGGGATAATTCCTGAACATCATTAAATGAAAACGGAATGTATCATATGTGGCGAGGAGGCGTGATGGTTATGACCTTTGCTATTTTCTTTGACCTCCCGAGGTCAAATCCCCTTAGGCATGACATATTATATTAATTTTTGTTGTATAGTAGTTAAATTTTGTTGTATATAGTGGTATAACTATTTTTGTAAATAATATAAAAGGCATAAAAAAAAAAAAAGTTAATTTTTTGTATAGCAGTTAATTTTTGTTGTATATAATGGTATAATTATTTTTTTAAATAATATAAAAGGCATAAAAAAAAAAAAGTTTATTCTATTTGAAATCTCTCTCTTTCTACTAACAATCTTTTTCACTAAATTTATTATAGAAACCTAAAAAATTAAATTTTTAAAAAATTAAAGTGTTATTTCCAAAATCTGTGCGCATTTTATTAATTTTTACATTGATAACCAAATATTTTATTTTATTTATAATTTTTACATTATAAATCATGTAATGTACTAATTTTCTTACAGTTATCAATAATACATTTTAAATTAGATAATATTATAAAATATTTTTAATTTATTATTATTTGTATAATAACATAATTATAAAATGTAAACTAATAATTATAATTTCAGTATATAATATTATAATTAGTTAGGTTGTAATAATTTTAGATTATAGTTAGTTAGGTTGTAATAATTTGGGTTTTTTTAGCAGATTAGGTTTTTTGCCAAAGCGCGATTTTAGTGGCCATTCTTTCATTGATTTAGTCTACTCTTTATTATAGTCTATGTATAATTATATATTTTATCCATGATAATTCTATGATTTTTCTTTTATGTGATGTAAATTTAATGGTTAACATAAGTTTATACAGGGAAAGAGCATCTCAATATTAACAAATTGATGAAAAAAATAAAAGTTAATAATGTAGTATCATCATTTCTTATTGGATTCTTAAAAAATAACATTTATAACAAATTTTAATAATTTTTTTGGAATTTTTTTAAAGTTTAATCTGACCGATTCGGTCGATTCTCGATCCGGATCACCGATTCACCGATCTAGATAAGTGTTTAAAGTGTCCGATCCGAGGCACCGATCTGTTTTTTAAACCACTGGTGTTCCCTATAGCAAATAGTTTTAGAGTTTTAAAGTAGTTAGATCAGACCATCCAAAAATTGAACGGTTATGTTAGACTGTACGTCCTTCAGAGTGTGTAGGGTTTTAAAACACGAAATTACATCCCTAATCGATCCCTCGCTACGACAATTTGCATCAACTCTTCTAATCCGATCCACTTGAAGTATAAACTCTTGGTTTTTTCTTCTTTTTTTTAAGCTCCGCCCTATGTGGGTGTAAGGATCCCTCTGTGGGTGTAAGGATCCCTTTGGAATTTGAGAAATTGATTATGATATGGAATCCTAGTGAAATTAAGATAGATATTTTTGGATAATAATAAATTAAAAATATGTCGGGAGAGATTTGACTCATATTTTGGATTTACTTCTTGTCGACAATCTCTCGTAAATTTTGACTAAAGAAATTCCTGGAACCCTAAACCTTAGGAACTACACTAGCCTTGTACACCATAAGACCACCAAAGTGTAGTCCAAACCATGTCAAGACTTGGAATACTCTTAAGTTACTCCTAAATTTCCCAATTTTAGGAAGAAAATATTCAAACTAGAGTATATTAAATCACAATCGGCAAAATCCCATTGAATCATGAAGTCCTGGATTTAAAAAATGGAGAATTAGAATGAGTTCTATTCTAGTGGTGTGGTAAATGTCAGTGGGCCCATTGGGCCCAGCGCTGCACACCATGCTGCTGAGACCCCAATGGCTCAGATCGAGCAATGTGCCGGTTGTCCTTTCAATCTACTGATTTCTTTGCAAATTGAGGGCTTCAGGACACTTGTAGTAGATGAAACCTAATCCCTAGCCTCTGCACTCCCTCAACTAAAATTAAAAGCTATAAGAGAGAGAATTTGTGTGTATATGTGTGCTTGTGTATTTATGTGAAAGAGAGATGCCCAATATTTATGTATGTGTGTGTGAGACCCCATATGCTTGTATATTTGCATGTGTAGAAGGAAATGTCCAACGTGCTCTATGTGTGCATATGCGAGAGAGAGTGCCCATGTGCGCGTGAAGAGAAAAATCACATGTAAACGACAGTTCATATCACACTATCAGTATCAAAACTCACAAAAATCACTTTCTCCCTTATTTTTTCACTAAAAATTACAATTTTTTTTTTTTTGCAGGGGTACTATATCAAAACTTGTATAAAAAATTTGTATTAAAATTATTATCAGTAGAGGCTCTGACGAACAACGTCTCAATCTTCATATATTTCTGTAAAACAATAGAAATATATAATTCATTACCCTCACTTTTTTCTTAAAACTCAAAAAATAATTTTTAAGGATTTTAGATTTTTAAAATATTTTAATCCAGTTGATTCTCTTTTCCATACCGCTGATCCGACTCGGTTTTTACAATGAACAACCTGAATCATCGATCGGTTTTTTAAAACCTTGTTTGTGCCTGAAAATAGGAAGATCTCTATTTCTTTGGCTAATAAATTTTTTGAGCAAATCGATTTTTTCAATGCTCCCACTTTACACATACCCGTAATTCCAAAAATAACTTTTTTCCGGAAGAGAGAAAAAAAAAAAAAAAAGGGCCTCGTGACCCAAGTTTAGTGTGCTATATACTTTGTACTTAAGGGAAAAGTTTATATAGAGCCGCAACTCTAAATTATTGAACTTGAGCTGCAACTACTTTCACCGTTCATTAACTCGGACGGTAGTGATTTTGCACACCGCCTAAAAAGAAAACCGGGGCGTGCCATCACGTTTTGAAAATGCTGACAAAAAAAAAAAATACAGCCTGTTGCACTTCTCTCTCTCCCTTCCCTCAATCATCTCTCTCTATGCCCACTCTCAACCGTCCATCTCTTTTCTCACACTGTCCCTAATGCTGCTTCCTCAATCTTCTCTCTTTCAGCTTTTTCTCTCTAAAATTTTGGGTTTTTACCTCTGCCTCTTTTCTTCAGGGGAGCGATACAGCTTCTGCAAAGGTGCATAAACAGAAGATGAGCAGCCAAAGCTAGCTCTAACTGGTTCCCTTTTCTCTTTTATTCTCTTCTTTTTCTTTTTTACCTTTTATTCTCTCGTCCTGGTTTCCCGGTTTCAGATTTAAAACCGAGTGCAATATATCCACTGTCTATTTTATTGGATGGTAGATTAGAGTGAAGCTCTTATTGTGAGATTTGAGCTTCGGCTCTATCTTGGCTACCTACCCCTCCTTACCCATTACATTCACGGAGGGCAAATGAAATGGTTAGTCTACTTTTTATAATCTTGGGCTGGATTTGGAAGTACAACCATTCTTTTTCTCAAGAGAGTGGTAAGTTTCATCTTTCACTTTCTAAACTTTTGGGCTTTCTCTCACTAAACTTTTCATTCTATGGTTTTAGATCTTGATTTAAGGTCTGGATTTGGAAGTACAGCCATTGTTTTAGGTTTGAATGTATGAATTAGAGTGGATCTTTCTCTCTCTGGTGGATTTTGAATGGATGAATTGGAGTTTTTATTTTTCATCATCAACAGTAGGGGCTGGACTTTGAAGTACAACCATTTTTTCTCTTAAAAGGGTGGTAAGTTTTACCTCTCTCTCTCTAGGCTTTTTGGGCTCTTTCCCTCTCTAAACTTTTCACTTTTGGCTTTTAGGCCTTGATTTATGGTCACCTTAAAACAATGGCGAAAGGATTTTTCATAGATAGCATTATCAGAAAAATGACATGCTCTAAGGCTTTCTTATGATTTTTGGTTGAGTACCTCGATTGACCAGCAATTAACCTTCTTATAGAATTGCATTTTATGGATATAATTTTAGCCTACGAATGGATTAACTTGCATTTTCTTATACAATAAGACAATTTGAATATTAAATGCTTGGCAAGTTTCTTGAATCTTGCTCTTATAGTTGCTGAATTTAGGCATTTCAATTTTTAATTGTTGTTTTTTTATCTTATCTTCTTGAAGGAATGTTGATGTAAATTATCTTTGAAGTTTAAACTGGATAGTGTGACTCCTTACTTTTTTTTCTTTTGATTGATTTGAATCCTTGTTTCCCTCTATGCATTGCAAATGGTATGATTATACATCTTTCTTTCTTGTGAGCTTACTTTGCTACTTGGATGTCATTACTGAATATTGTCTAGTAGTGGAACCTAGTTTATGAAAATTGTTACATGAAAATTTCTTGTTCAAACACTCAAATATTACTAAGTTGTTATTTCATGTATATTTTGGTATAGGAGGCCCAGTATTGAGGGCATAAGTCCCTCCAAGGAGTAATCCTCAAGGGAGCATAATTGACACTACGGAACCTTTTTTGCACCTTTTTAAGCTTATGGTTCATTGTATACTTTTCGTATCTATTGTTCAGTTAGTTTTTTGGATGTATAGCATTTTTTAAATTACCTCACCTTTTTGGACACAGCACCCAGGCTGTGGGCTGCCTATTTTTAATGTATTCTGCATACTTTCTGTTTGTACATATATTAACAATTTTTTTTAAAAAAAATACATATTTTTTTTGCGAATAGAGTTTTGGACGCTAATTAGATCTCTTGGGGGTATATAACTACATAGCTTCTTTGTGTAAATTTAAAGACGATATGAATGTGGTAAATAATGTGCTATCGTTTTGATCCATGCAAGTATTGGTTGTAGGATTTTTATGTTCATTGAATTTGAGATGAGCTCATTATTGTGATGTTAAGATGTTCATCCATCTGTTTCAACATGTGTTTCATGTGTGATTTGGACTATGTTTGGATAAGTTGCAGGTCATACATAATATGCTTGTTATTGCAACTATGGGTCTTTTTGGATTTTGACCAAACGCTGCTACTTTAGTTCATAATGTGTATATGTTGATCTTAGGGTTAGCATATATAGGATGTTAGTAACATGTGTTGCAAGTCATATGAGCTATATGCAACCTGATGGTGGAAGTCTTTATTATATCATGTCCGGTTTCTTGTTGTGATACTGTTCCAAAATTTTTACTCTTTTTTATTATACCTTGTACAGATTCACATAATTGAAATAGATCAAGTATGTAAATTGAATAAAGTTGTGTAGGAGCTAGAATCTCTTTCAAATTCAACATAGTTTTGGTCGTTGGCAGACTGTTATGCTTCTATGTCAACGGTTAATGCAGCCCCTAGTTTTAGAAGACTTCATCACAATATTTGCTACCAACTTGTGCTAGGTTCACTCAGTCCATTATGCAACAAATTGCCATGCAATTAGCTCTTCATATTTTTTTTGGCATTAGTGAACACACTATTAACAATTGTTTATATACTGCTGGCAGTGTGTACACACTTTTAACAATGTGCATATGTTGATTTCAATGCTTGTATGTTGTTCATAATGTGTATATCATATGAGCTATATGCAATGTATCTTATTTTGATTAATAGCTTGACTTGTAGGCTTTATTTAGAGTTTGTGCTGTTAACTAGAATATTTGTTGATTAATATAAGTCTTGGATGAGTTGCAGGTCATACATACTACGCTTGGTTATTACAACATTTGGTCTTGTTGGATTATGGCATCACAATGAGGTCTAGAGTGTTCAAGAACTATTGCTTGCATTTGAAGAAGGAGGTGGGGCTTAAATGTCCAGCGGCATAGATTGGTCTGTAGAAAGTACAACAACTAAGATAACATGACTTTGGATCGACATAGATTGGCCTTAAATGTTGCGGTATTGCAATTGTTTGATATTCTATGTCAAAAAGTTTGGCAACTAATTTGAGGGTCTCCACTTTATTGATATGGGAATGTAATAACCTTTTCATGATGACAAGTGCTTGTTAAAGACTATGCTATCAATTGATAGTTATGTAAATTTATAGACGATTTCAATTTGTTAAAGAATGTGCTGTCATTTTGATTGATGCACGTATTAGTTCCAGGATTTTTATGTTCATTGAATTTCAGTTGTGCTCATTGTTGTGATGTTGAGATGCTCAAACAATTGTTTGTAATTGCTTATTTTCCTTGATCGTGCATATATTTCAGCAAGGGTTTAATGTTTGATTTGAGTAAATGGATTGAAAGGACAATATTAATATAGCAAGGCAAGTTATGTCAGCAAAATCTTAACTCTCTTGCTGATCTTCAATTGGTTGGATGATGGGGATTTGTTTTGTTCAAATTTGCGATGGTAATTAGCAAGTAGAGAGAGAATCTTAGCTCTAGAACTTCCTAACCCTCAAGAGAGAGAAAGAGAGACAGTCTTACCTCTATAAGTTCTAAATCTGAGAGAGAGAGAGAGAGAGATGGTGGGGATTTTGAACCAAAAGTCTCTATGTTGTAAACGTCTTCTAAATATTTTATATAACTTGCACAAGAGAGATGTTGGGGTTTTTAACCAAAGGTCTCTATATTGTAAATGTCTTTTACACATTTTCTAACTTGCCTGAACCTTTTGTTCTTTGTATAGACCTTCTAAAACCCATAACTCATCTTTAATTTCCACTATTGATTCTTGCTAGTAAAGTTTCTTTGTTTCAATCAATTTATTCTCTCGTCTTCCTTATGAAGCTTCTTATTAGTGCTAAAGAATAAGCCTATGGGGTTTCCATTTCCCGTGTACTCAGACAAAGTAAGGGAAAAATAATATTTCAATTGGAAAATTTGGTGCTCCTTTGGAAGCTTGTTAATAGAACAAAAATGGTTGTACCAAGAATATGGAGAGAGAGAAAGCCATCCAATATCAATCCACACATCACCCGGGAACATCGACAAAAAACCATTTGAATTAGCAATAACAAGGAGAAAAATCCACTTAGAACTCAATCAACCAGCCTATACTAGTAATAACAAAGATAGAAAACAAGACACAAATATTTCATATTTTTTGTACAAAATTACACTAAGGCTCTATGGAGAATCCACATGCTTTAATCACCCATCCTGGGAATGGAGAATCCACATGCTTTAATCACCCATCCTGGGAATGCACCACCAGTAATTTGAAGTCCACTTATCCCCGATAAAGCATCTGCTGTATGCCACAACATCTCCAATGAGCAATCAAGCGTTGAACTAATTCAATACAATAGAAAGAGAGAGAGGACTATGCAATCCGCCATCTTGTACCAAAAAATTGAAGAAACTTGAGAAAGAGGAAGAGCACCCAATTATAGGAAGAAACCATGGAAATTTTGCAAGTAACACATCACTCTCTTTTCTTTGCTAAATGAAATATAAACAAAGCATCGAGTATTCTGACATTTGTAAACCAGATGGCCCACATACTTTTTGGGGAATTCAAGCATTTCTGATCCAAAGAAGAATAAATTTTAATGATGTCCACTAACCAATCATAGTAAAACTCGCATTGGTTGAGCTACAATGGTTACAGGAAAATTGTATCATCGTAAAACTCGCATTGGTTCAACTACAACAGTTAAAAAAAAATTGTAGCCTGATGCAAGAAGGCCCAACCTCTGAGAGCAAAACTCAAATTGATTCAGCTGCAACAATAATGGAAAAAAAAAGGGAATAAAGGGGACACTAACAACCCAAAATCAACTAACCTACAAAATAAACAGCCACTAATCACGGCATCAACATATTCACTCCACTCCAATTCATTCAACCACTTATAAATCAGAACAATTCATAAAAGGATCCTATCTCACAAGGACTAAAAGTTCAAATTAATTGGTATGCAACAAAAATTGGAAAGACAACAGAGCAATAGATCGCCTCAAATTCATAAATGCACTCATGAATCACATCAATTCTATGAAACCCAACGCAAAAAGATCCTATCTGACAAACAATTAACTCAATTTGAATCAGCTACACCAAATCATTAAAAATTAACAACATAAAATAAAAACCCTAATTCATCCATCCCCAATGAATAGTCACAAGAACAACACTTCATTAAGTCCCCAATAGATGATTATAAATCATAAACCCCAATACAAGAACAACAAACTCAATAATCATTAAACTCTCATTTCATCCAATTCCCATAATCATGAAAAAAGTTGACCAACCATAAATCCCATTATAAATATCCTAGATGCTTAAAAAACACCAAAATTCACATTAAAAAAGTACCTAATAAGAGAGAATAAAAGGTAAAAAAGAAAACGAAGAGAATAACAGATAAAAGGGAACCAGCGAGGGCGAGCTTTCGCTGTTCATCTTGCATTTTTGCACCTCTCCAGAAGCTGGCTCTCTCCTATGAAGAATAGAGACACCTTTAAAAACAAATAGGTTTTATACTTGTTGAGGTAAATCATTCTCCTTAACAGGAAAGGAGCACCCTCCTAGATTCGATTCCCTATTGAGAATCGAAGGTGAAAAGGAGAAATAATAAATAATAAATGAAATAGAGAAAGTTTCAATCTCTTTGATCTCAAGCACGATGGATCACTCTCAACCAATGGTTTAAAAAACGGATCGGTGACCCGGATCGGGCTTCCAAAAAACCGATCCGAATTGGAGAATCGGCGATCAGGATCGGGAATCGGGTGAATCGGTCAGAATAAAGCTTAAAAAAAATTAGAAAAAATTATTAAAATTCATTATAAATATTATTTTTTAGGAATTCAATAAAAAATGAGGGTACTCCATTAAGAATTTTCATGTTTTTGAATGAATATGCGAATATTGATATGTTCTTTCCCTGTATGAACCGCCATTCAGCATTTAATTTACAGTATTTCGTGCTCATCCCTACACTGTTGCTGTTGGGACTCGATATGTGAATAATATGGCTAGGATAGGGTGGCTTCAGAATCATCATCTCTCTCGTTTTCTCTTTGAATAATATGGATTAAAAAAAAATAATAACAAATTTTCAAAAAAATCAATCATGGATTAAAAAAAAAATCACAAATTTTCAAAAAATTCTATCATGGATTACAAAAAAAAATTCGATCATGGATTAAAAAAAAAAAATCACATATTTCCAAAAAATTCAATCATGGATTACATAAAATTCGATCATGGATTACATAAAATTCGATCATGGATTACATAAAATTCGATCATGGATTACATAAAATTCGATCATGGCTTACAAAAAAAAACAAACAAAAAAAAACAAAAAATT